CAGGATTGCTATTCACTGTACCTCCCAGGCCAGATCTGACAATGATGGCTGGCTTCTAGATCTTTCTCAACATACTCTCCAAGTCCCCTCTTCACCATTAATTCCCCTCCTGAATAATGGGACAAAGGCTACTGGTTTTACCAGGCTCCTGTTCTTTCCTGCTGCGTGTCCTGCTGTCTGTTGCTGTCAGAAGGTCAGGGAAAAGAGAGTGATCTATTACGGGAGAGAGAGAACCGGTCAAAGTTTCAGAGGCCAGGGAGGGTTGTTTTCTCACAACTGCTCAAGATGAGGGTGGGGTGGGGTGGAGGCCAAGGCTGCCCCCTCCTTGCTACCTACTCCTTGGGATTTGGCCATCTCTAGAGGCATTACAAATTAACTGGATAACAGCCAAATGTTGATTTGTCAGGGTCTTGTGAAAAAGCCAAGGACTTTCCCCTCTAAACACCTGCATATCCTTCAGGTACTGCCCACGCCCAGAGGTGCATCATCCACTGCAGTAATGTTGAACGGTGGCTGTGAGGCATTAGATTGTGGAATCTGTTTAGTCAGCTGCTACTACCATCATATTTTATTTTGTTTTATTTTTGCAAATCTTTTATTTAAACATGATATACACAAAAAAGTGCACTATTCATCAATGTACAGCACAATGAATTTTCACAGAATGAATACATATCTGTAATGACCATCTTTATCATGAAATAGAATGTTAGAAAGACCTTGAAGTCTCCACATACCTTCTCCCAGGCACTAAACCCTACTTCTGCCTGAAAGATAACCCCACCCTGTTTTCTAAAACCATACCCTAGGATAGCCTTCCTTTGAAGTTTACACAGATGAAATCGCACAGTGCATATTCTTTTGTGTCCAGCCTCTTTCACTCACTGTTATATTTGTAGATTCATCAATTTTGTTGTTTGGCAGCAGTGTGTTCATTTTCATAGCTATATAGTGACATTTTATGAATATATCACAATTCATTTAATTATACTCAGGAGAGACTAAACCTGCTAGTAGCACCTTGCTCTTGGACTTCTGGCCTCCTGAACCTTGAGATAATAATTTTTTTTTTTATTGTTTAAGCTGCCCAGTCTGTGGCATTTTGTGATGGCAGCCCAAGCAGACTAATATATCCAGAGAGGTGGAGAAAGGCCAACGGGAGGACACAGCACTGTCCTAGAGAACAAAGAGGAGTTGTGGAAGACGCCTACTTTTGGGTGATAAATACATGTGAAAACATCTCTGCACACTAAATGTCCAAAAGACAAATCACTCATAGAGAACAGAAACAATTCTGCCTCAAAGAGCTAAAAACATCTTAAACTTCCAATTAGCTCATAACTTCAACCACATATCTATGATATTTTATGTTAGAAAGTTTTTTTTTTTNATTTGTTCATTCATTCATTCAGGAATGCTTTCTTTTCTTTTTTCTTTTCCTCTTTCCTTCCTTTAACAAGTGTTGATTGAGAGCCTCCTATGTATTAGATAAAAATATTAATAAATATAAACAAAACATAAAGTAAATAAGTCAAAGTCTCTGCTGTCAAAGAGCTCATGAAGAAGTCGGTAGGCATGTTGGTGTTCTTTGAACATATGTTTATTCCCTCATAACTTCTCTTTCCCTACACACCTTAGAATTACACAAGGCCTCAAAGCCTTAGGCATAGATTTTANATAGAGAACAGAAACAATTCTGCCTCAAAGAGCTAAAAACATCTTAAACTTCCAATTAGCTCATAACTTCAACCACATATCTATGATATTTTATGTTAGAAAGTTTTTTTTTTTTCTTTCGGAATTAAACATAATCCCAAACTTACTTCCAATTTGATGAAGACATAAATATTTCATTGCTTTTGCTTCATCTAAAAGTTTCTATTTTTGTCTCAGTTCTAAATTTTTTGACATATTCCCCCAGAATATTACCTTTTCTTTTCTTTTGACGATCATTTTTGAAAGACATCAGTTCATGAGTAAAACAAGCATCAAATCCCACACAACTGCGTGAACACTGTTACCGCAAGGCAGCAACACTGCTGATGCCTGGCTTGTGGCTGGCAGTGCAGGGAACTTTAGTGTACGAAAGGCCATGCTGAGGTGCCAGTCTGGGCGACACTTCCTACTTTAAGAGTCAGCAAAAGTTGGGGGAGGGTAATTCCAAAAAGAGGGAAAAGGTTGTGCAAAAGTGAGTGCAACTACTGCCTGTCCAGGCAGGAAAGCAGCTCAGGAGGGCTGGAGAGGCGGGGCGGGCGGTCAGCGCTGGGGGTGGACGTAGGTGAGTGGCCGAATGGTCACGCCCAGGGTACTGAGGCTGCAATGCGTGCGGCGGCGAGGTGGTTGCACAGGGAACAGACCTCCCTGTCCATCTGTCTGTCTCTAGCGCGTGTACACACACATACACACACACACACAGTGGGCATATACGACAGAGAAGAAATTCAAGCCAGGGTCTGGGGGCCACCTGCTGTCCCCAGATCGCAGCGACGGAGCTACCCTTAGGCTTGGGCCTAAGGCGCAGGTCCTCATCCAGTAGCAGCCTGCGGGCTCCAGCCGGGCCAAGCGGGGCCCCA